CAACTTTCAGTTCTTTACTTCCCGTGTCTTCCTCTCTCCCTCACAACTTCCTTAAGTAAAACAACTTAAGCTTTAATAGAACCTGCTTTTCAGTCAAAAGAATTTGACCAGCCTTAGGAAGAGCCCGTTTGATTAGTCAAAGCATTTTTTGAAAGTCAAACTTTTGTTGATATATTCATTAAACACTTGTTAAGTACCCACTATGTTAAAAACTTGAAATTAAAGCCCAGAATAGCCCTGCTTTCTCCACTGGTCAATGCCAGGCCATGTATATTGGCAGTGAGAGTTGTAAGAAGGGGCAAAAATACCTGCAGAGTAGCTCTTCCATCATCTGGTTAGAGGAATAATATCACGATCATGATCACGATCATGACCATCCTGTTATTCGTTGATTGCCTCAAGCAGGCCCCAGTAACGTCTCCTTTGTACTTGCCCTGAGATTTTTTAAAAAGTGCCATATTCAAGGCTCTTTCAGAGTTAGGAGAATGAGACCCATCATTGTTACTGGTATTTGGCATAATGGGTACGCCACAGGGAGTTTGCCAGACTCTGCCATGTGGGCAGGTTACATTCGGTAGCCTGCCAGTTTGTCCAAAGTAGGAATGAGATAATAAGATGTCGCACGGCTGCAAATGTGGCCGCGCGCTTCCGGGAGCTGGGTTAGAGGGATAATACCAAGTAAAACTAAATTTTGGATGGCTTTAGCATTCTTGAAGAGAGGAGGGGATGCTTTTACGACTGCCCTCATATATGCTATGTGAACTAATATGGTTGCAGGGAGCAAGCCAGAGGTTTGAAATTTTTATTGAAATGTTGAATATAATGAAATGTTGAATCCTCCTTCAAACTACACTGCCTTGATGAAGCCATCTAGTACTGAAAGTGTGCAGACAGAGACAGACACCTTTGAACACCAGGATATTCAGAGTCCCTCCAATTCTCTCAGGGTAGCTTGTTCACTTCTTTAAGAGATAAGGTGAATAAGGCCAGGGTGCATATATGCAAATATATATGTGTGTGTGTGTGTGTTTGTGTGTGTGTGTATATATATATATGTATATATATATATATATATATATATATATATATATATTATACTAAATGCTTGGTCCTAGACCAGCCATTGCAGTGTTACCTGGGAGCTGGCTAGAAGAAGAATGTACCAAAGCAAAATGTGAATTTTATCAAGATCCCCAGCTACTTGCTTGGTGCGTTGTGGTTTTAGAAGCCACACTTAATCTGTCAGTGTGTGCCTGCCTCCAAGGGGACCCAGAGAAACTCTGCACAGCAGTACCTTTTCTTTCTTGCTCTTTTTAAACTGGCCTCAGTTGTCTCTGGGGTAGTCTCTCATTCTCCAGCTATTCTCTCTCTCTTTCTGTCTCTCTGTCTCTATCTCTCTTTCTCTTATTTTGGATCATACCCAGTGGTGCTCAGGATCACTCTTGGCTCTGCACACAGCAATCACTCCTGTAGAGACTCAGTGGACAACATTGAGATGCCAGGGATTGAACTTGAGATACCACGTGCAAAACAGTAAGATGTATATACTCTCTTATTCCTTCCTGTTATTCTGTTTCTTTGACATCAGGGAATGGGGCCCCAGAACCACACCCAGTGCATCCCATCTGCCATGAAAATGTTGTTTTCAGTCTGCTCTGTTGGCTACCTTTACTGGACTCCATTCCATTCCCATACCATTCTCTCAGTAGAAATCCATCTTTTGCAGGAGAGTGAGAAGTGGGAATGATGGGACAATGGGAGGAAGCAGTAGGATCTGGAAGAACCAAGAAAGATGAGTTATACTTGAGCAACAAGATTATGTTCTCCCTTTAGTAGGTATTTACTTATCGTTCATTCTTTGAGCCACTCATCAGCAGATGTTAATTGAACAAACTTTGTGCCACGTCCTGATATAGAAACTGAGGATTCTAAGCAAAGTGAAGCACATCAGAAATGTAAGGTAGGTGTAAGGTACTTGTTAATGATACACTCCCTAGCTGTCTAGAAAAAGGCCCACCAGAGATCCTCAACCTATACTAGCAAGTAAGTTCCATGTTCATCATGACTGAACTGGCCTCCTTTGCCTCAGTACTGGGACATCTGAATTTTATGATGCCCAAGGCATGAAACAGTCTACAGAAAACAGAGTAAGCAACCAAATGTCCTCCACTTTATCAGTTATTTTCTTTAGGATTAATTTGATGAGGAATGTGCATTCCTGTTTACCCTCCACTCACTGTCACCATCACAATGCTTTGAAACTGGTAGCAGGACGAGGGGATGCTGAGGCTCAGAACTACAACACAGCATGTCCACTGTTGAGTGCACCTCTCACCAACAGCTCTCTGGGTCTAGCCTTCTTGCACTCAGCACACCCAAGATTAGAGGGACGTCTGTTGCAGATTTCTGCTTGGAGGTACTTTTTTGGTTTTTTTTTTTCTTTTTGGGTAACACCCGGCAATGCACAGGGTTTACTCCTGGCTATGCACTCAGGGATTACTCCTGGCGGTGCTCAGGGGACCATTATGGGATGCTGGGAATTGAAACCGGGTCTGCCGTGTGCAAGGCAAATGCCCTACTCGCTGTGCTATCACTCCAGCCCCTTGGAGGTAAATGTTTTTGAAGTAGGATGAACTTCTCTGAATTGGAGATGGTTTGCCCAATTTGTCTAAATTGGAGATGGCCTCTAAGTAGGACAGTCTCCTGGGGGCACTTCCCCTTACAGTAGCCATGTAACCAACATTGACGGAAATGAATGGGTAGCTGGTTAGAGACAGCCAGGAGTTGAAGGGTTTCTCCAACCCCCAGAGGCCTGAGAACAGACAACTCTACACTTTAGGCTATCTGGAACACTCTGCTGGGGTTCAGCTCTATTCATCCCTCCCCCTGTGAAATCCTGGGGACTGTCAAATAAATGACAAGGCTCCTTTTACAAGTAGACCAGAAGTCTGCAGTGGCTAGTCCAAGCTGATTGCCTATCTTATCTTGAGTCATCAGTCTCTCATTCAGGCTTCCACAAACAACTCTCAGCCCTGCACTTTGGGAGAAAAAGTCTGCTGGTGTCGGTATTTCCCAGGGTCCTGGGCTCACATGCACCTCTGTGGCAGGGAACTTGGATCAGCTGAGACCATGGGCTAGCACAGAGGAAAGGTTCGGGCATGAAGGTTCTGGGTGGGTTCCTAGTTTCTGAAAATGACAGTGACAATGATCATGATGGTGTGACATTGATACAAGGTGGGACATGCCTGGGCCTTGCTGTATGCTCAGTTTTGTGTTATGTACTTTTCATGAATCCTCATCTAAACTTGACCCTCTGTCTTGGGATAGAGACTAAGGTGCAAGGGGGACTAACTAGCCTCCATGAATTCTTGCATTTACCACAATGTCAGCTGAGACACAAACCTCCCTAGCTTAGATTCTAAATTTCCTTGTGTTCATATTTGGCCAGAAAATAACCTTGCTTATAGTTAGCTTCAGATACATTCCTTATAAGAGGGTGAGATACCACCCTAAATCCCTGCCTCATCTGCCCCTGGAGACCTCCTTTCTGTTTCTTCCTGAACCCTCTATATTCCTTAGCATCAAAGATAGTCTAGAACTGAAATTTCTTTTAAAAAATTCCAACAAAATTTTGCTCCAGGGCTTGGAGGCCAGCCACACATGCTAGGGGAAAAGGCAGCTCAGATAGAGAAAAGAGCACCAAGCAAAGGGTGTTGGGAGGATCCTCCCAGGATGGGAGAAGCATGCTGAAAGTAGACCAAACATGATTGCCATTCAATGCCTCTTTTGCAAACCACAACACCCAAAAGGAGAGAGAGAACAGAGGGGAATGCCTTGCCACAGAGGCAGGGTGGGCTGGGGGGGGATGGGGGTGGGAGGGATACTGGGATCCGTGGTGGTGGGAAATGGGCACTGGTAGAGGGATGGGTATTTGATCACTGTATAATTGAAACCTAAGCACAAAATTTGTAAGTCTACAACTGTACCTCATGGCGTCTCACTAATAAAAATTTTTTAAAAAATTCCAACAAGGCTGAACATAATTGAAGCAACCTTTGATCAGCCAAGTCTATAGAGTAGTTGCATTTTCTCATATCAGCAGAATTAGTTTTCCTTTTCTAGAGAATAAGAGTGTAAGAAAACAATTTCCCCCATACTCTCGCTCTACTTTTGGGCACTATGGTTTGCAATATAGATACTGAGAGACTATCACATTTGGTAGAGGTAGGGGGAGGGATGAGATGGAGATGGGGATACTGGGGACATTGGTGGGGGAAAATGTGCACTGGTGGAGGGATGGTTATTCGATCATTGTATGAGTGAAACTCAAACATAAAAGCTTTGTAAGTGTAGCTCACTGTGATTCAATTTTTAAAAAAATAGAAATATTGGGCATGAATATGTGCTGATACCAAAGCCTACTACGTTTGTACAACAAATATCAGCATCTAATTTTCTATTTTATATGTTGGGCTACAGCTGCAGCTTTCATTTTTTAAGCTTTTGACATCTTTAAAGCTTTTCAGTAGTTGTTCTCTTTCTTCATTGTAATTTTACACCTTTTACATATTTCTATTTTCTCTGTTAAAAAAAATTCCTTCACTGACTATGGACAGTGAGTGTTGCTTCAGCACATGTGCAGTGACCGGGATTGAACTCAGGATCTCACCTTTGGCCTCTGTATTTTCTAAGCCACCGAGCCATCTTCTGGGTCCTTCTTCCCCTGAACGGTTCTCACAAGCATCACCACCACTGTATACGTACACAACTACAACTGCCTGCAGTGCTCACATACACTGTCTTAGTATTTACTTAGTCTTGGTGCTCACACATGGGATCTTACTCCTTTAACTTGCACATGTGCTCCCAGTTGGGGCAGGGTGGGGAGCAGTGCTGGTTGATTTACTCTGCTCACCTGCTTAGTTGTGGGACTAGTTGGGGTCATACCCTTGAGTTTGAGTGGTGTTTTTAGGGATCTGACTGTTCTCTGTGGCCAGCAGCTGACTGGAGCAAGAGGGATAGCAGAGAGAAGGGCTTCAGGGCACAGACAGCAGAGCCACGATCACAATGGAACCTGTGAGCAGCAGCGGAACTGAGCTCAGAGCCTCTCACACTCGTAAGGTTGGCCATTCGCGTGCTTCTGCTTCTGCTTCTGATTTTTGTGACGTTCAGACAGGAAATCTTTGTAGCTTCTAATGGTTAATGGTAAATATTCTTTGCTTTGCTTTGAGGGACAGTGAATATATATATATATATATATATATATATATATTCAAATTGTTTTACTTCATTTAAACACTGTAGTTTACTAAGTTGTTCATAATAGACTTGTTATGAGTTTTGATGTTCCAACACCAATCCCTCCACCATTGTCCCCATTTCCCATCCACCCCCAAGCCAGCCCCCTTGGCAGGCACATAAGAATTTCTTTTATATTGTTAGAACAAAATGACTAAATGAATTATCAAAAACACTTCAGTAAAGGAAAATTTGTGAAAATTGTTTTATCTCACCACGGTGCTAAGTCTTTGAGGATTTGCTAAAACTTTTATTGCTAGTTGAGTCTTCTGTGTTATTATTTAGGTTAAATTTAATTGGTTTCTATATTACTTGCCCATCTCATTTGGTATGGTCCTACTGGAATTTCAGTACTGTGGAATATGGAGGTGTTGCGTGGCCACATGGGGCTGGAGCGATAGGACAGCGGGTAGGGCATTTGCCTTGCGTGCGGCCAACCAAGCCAACCGAGTTAGATTCCTCTGCCCCTCTCAGAGAGCCTGGCAAGCTACCAAAAGTATCTCGCCCGCACGGCAAAGCCTGACAAGCTACCCGTGACGTATTCAATATGCCAAGCACAGTAACAACATGTCTCACAATGGAGACATTACTGGCCCGCTCAAGCAAATCGGTAAACAAGGAGAGGACAGTGGAGTGCAGTGCAGTCTAACACTTTCAGGATCTATAGAACTGGGATGAGTCTGCACAGATTTTTCTTACATTTGTAATTTATTTTTCTTCTTGAAAAGTACTATTATGGGAAACAGAGAGATAGTATAGTGGGTAAGATGCTGGATGTGGCCCCCAAAACAAAACAAAAAAGTTCTACTGTGGCTTGTCTCTTTTATTGAAAGCATTAATTGTTTTCTTCTTGTTTAGAAAGACATTTTATTAAAAACATTAAAATCTTTTTGTCATATTTCAGAAGTGATTTATTTTTTTCATTGCTCACTTTTTTGTTTGTTTGGTGTTTTATTTGTTTTTAGATTATACCAGCTGTTCCTAAGGCTCATTCCTGGCTCTGCACTCAGGGATCACTTCTAGAAGGCTCCAGAGATCATATGGGGTGTCAGGGATCAAACCTAGTTGGCCAATTGCAAGGCAAGTGCCCTTCCAGTATCTCATCTCTACAATTTCTCAGTGCTCACTTTTATCTTAACTTCGTTTAAAATTTTTGATGATACTATGGAATACAATTTTTTCTAAATATTTACCTATTTTAAACTCTACTGGTTTGAGAAATGCCCATCCATTATTTTGCTTCTATAGAATATTTTATTGTGTCAATATACAGTATTATTCATTTTTAAATAGAGGAATTCTGATGAATATACAATATTTCCTAATTAAATGATTAACCTTTCATTATCACTCCTGTTGCAGTCCTGTGAAAAGCTCTGTAATAAATAATATCTACATATCGTGGAATTGTTGGGTCCTAATATTGATGAGTTTTCTAGAACTGTCATAACAAAGTGCATCATACAAGGTAACCTAACACAATGGATCGTCTCAGAGTCTGGAGACTGGAAGTCCAAAACCAAGATGCTGTCTAGGTTAGTTCTTCCTGAGGGCATTGGGGGAAACATCTGTTCAGGGATTTGATCTCCACCGGTCCCTGATGGTCTTCTCCCTATGTCTTTTCACATTATCTTCCGTCTCTCAATGTCTCCATCTGAAACCAAATTTCACCCATTTATAAGGACACCAATCATAGTGGTTTTGTCCACCCTAAAGACCTTATTTTAACTAATCACATCTTCCAGGACTTTATTTTCAAGCAGGAGCACTTTCTGAGCTAATGAAGCTTGGGACTTTAACATATGAATTAGGTTCAGGGGCACAACTCAACCGATAACATAATATATATGTCAAAATGTCACCAAATTGCCCTCCAAAGTGGTACACCAACCTACAGTTCACCTGCAGACATGAATTCTATTGAATTCATAGATTAACTTGAGGGAGAATTTGCATTTTTATTCTATTGATTTTTTTGTCCATAAAAATGGCATATCTCTCCATTTATTTGAGTTACATTTTATGTCATTCACTAATGTTCAGTATTTTGTTGTATTTCCCTTTGGGAAGCCTATAATTGCTATAACAGATTTCTCTTGTATATTTTCTAATTTAATTTTTTCAGGTGTGAGAAGATACTGATGATTATTTAATGTTTAATTGTATCAAGTGATAATTGGTATTTTAGAGATTCTAGTAGTTTATCTGTAATGCTCTTCTAATTTTTATTTAATCTATAAATTATTGAAACTTGTCTTTTTTATTTCTTATATCTTTAAGTTTGTCTTGCTTCTATTGCATTAACTATATTAGAACTTCCATTTCACTTTTGAAGAGGAAAAGTAATTATGCACATCACTGTTCATGTCTAGTCTCAATGTGCAAAGTATCTAAAGTTTCATCATTAAATACAATATTTGTCCTTGGTTTGGAAGAAATTATACTTTTCTTCAATCAATAGCATGCTAAGTATTTTAAAGCACAAATGGCTGTTGAAGACCAGCTCTCAAAAGGAAGTCTTCCATAGGAAGCTTGGTGGGGTGGGGTGGTAGATAGGACAGGGAGGGGAACACTCCAACAATGGTGGAGGGAAATGGGCTCTCTGGAGCAGAAGGTGTTGCTAGAAAGGGGGTAAAGTGTTCTGTGTGAAACCCTATCAGTAGCAGTAATGTAAGCCACAGTGGCTAAAAGGAGAAAAAAGTGCCTGTCACAGAGGCAGGCTGGCGGGTAAGAGGGAAACTAGGAACATTGGTAGAAGGAAGGGGATGCTGATAAAGGCATTAGTGTTGGGACATTGTGCATCAGAAACTCAATCATGTGTATCTTTGTAAATCGTGGTGCCTCAATAAAAATGTTTTTAATTAAAAATAAATGACTTCAATGTTATATGTTTTTCCTGTATTTATGGAGAGGATTATGTGGTTTGGGTCATTAATCTGTATATTGTTTTATTAAGCTACATTCATATTCCTGAGATATTTTTCAATATATTTATCAACTTAATATGTCAACATTTATTTACAATTTTTTTGTTCTGTAATTAATTTTTGATATTTTCTTTGTTCTGTTTGGATAACAAGATTATAAAATGAGTTGACTTTTTTTTCTTTTGGTTATCAGTTTGTATAAAAATAAGGCTTATAAACCATAATTCCCAAAAGAAGAGAGAGGGAGAGAGGGAAGGAGGGAGGGAGAGAGGGAAGGAGGGAGGGAGGGAGGGAGGGAGGGAGGGAGGGAGGGAGGAAAGGAGGAAAGGTACCTGTCAGGCTGGGGGGGGAGAAAAATTGGGGACATTGGTGGTGGGAAATGAACAGTGGTGAAGCAACAGGTGATGGAATATTGTATGACTGAAACCCAATCGTGAGTAACTTTTTAACTGTGTATCTCAAGGTGATTGCATTTTTAAAAAGGTTTATTCTGTGTAATTTTGTGAGACTTTATAGCAATACAATCCAAGAGATTTTTCTCAAGGAGATTTGTGTATTAATTTAATCTTTCTAAGAACATAAGGTGTATTTGTTAGTAGTTTGAGCCAGTTTGATAAGGGTTTTCTACAGTTTGAAACTAAAGACTTGTTAAATAACTGAAGGCTGGAGCTAAATATATTATATAGCTGTTGACTCCAAACTATCTTCTACTCTTCCATGGCATCCTTTACGCTCACCTTTGTTCTTCATCTATTGTCCATCAAGACTTAAGACCTGTATATCAAACCTTCTAATAGTCACATAGCTGCTGAGCCTGGATTTTCTTGTGCTGCTACAAAAAAGCATTGATTGGTCAGGATAGAAATGATTTGCCTCTTCCAACTAATCAAACCTTTGTTGTCAACATTTTTGTATCCCCAGAGGTGGCACAGGCCTGGCACATAAGAAACACTCAATAAATACTTTCTGAACAAAGTTGTAAGCTAAGCAGTATGGCAGACAACACAACTGAGATTAGGCCCCGAGGGAACTCGGCCCAGAACATATCATTCTTCAGCTATAAAAATACAGTGGTCAATCACCTACTTGGCGAGCAACTTTTACTCTGCCTTTCTTCTGCTTTTACAAACCCAGTGCCAGACTTTTGTGGGGGCAATGATAGTGCCTTGTGGCAGCATAAGCTTGGCTCACTGAGCTGGGATGGCCCCTCCCTATTCTAGTTCTTACCCCCACACACTGGCCCCCATCCTTCCGTTATTGCTCCCACCATGCTAAAAAGCAGAGAAACAAAGGACACAGGAAAAGGCTGGGCTTTGGGTCAAATAGCCTTTGTGCCCTCAGTTTCAGTCTTGCTTCTGTCCTTTCAAGGCTGTTGAGTCTGGAACAGTTATGTTTCTTCTCTGTGCACTTTGGTTTCTTCCTTTGTAATGATAACATTAGCTCCCAGATTTGTGAAGTTGCTGCTTATAGTAAATGCTAAACACGTTCCTAAGTGGTGCATGGAGGCAGTTTAATGTTCATATTCTAAACTAAAAATCTTCCAGTTTTATTCCCCATCTCCAGCCCCAAGATTTGAAAATCGGGATGCCCAGGAAGCTGCACACATCAGTTTTTGAATAGCTCCGTAGTGGGTGGATCTATTCTTATTTATGGTCAGAGTCAATTATTTCTCTGCTCTTAAAATCTGCCTCCACTATCTTACCCATTCTCCTCCCTTTCTCTTTCATTCATTCTCTTCCTACGAGGTGAAGGAGGCCCTATAAGTATAGCCCAGAAGCAATTTCATAGTACACTTGATCCTTCCACTGTTTCCTGGTGCTTAGAAGGCAGAAAACCAGGTGCTCCCCGTTCTCATCATGGGTAACTCAATTACAAGAATTAAAAGGCTTTGGTTTGTTATTAATTTGGAAGCTATGTGCCTCTCACCCAGTAAGATCCAGGAGAGCCTCAGATGCAGATGATCAGCAGACACTGCACGTCCTGGACGTGGCTCTCAGATGTTCCTGAGAGCTCATTGCCTCTGCACAGGGCAGGTCCTGATGACCTACATATGAGATTCAGAGCAGCTGAATATAAAGGGGAAGGGGCAGGATCCATCATGTTTTGGGTGCACGAATGGGGATTTGGTGGGAGTTCAGGAAAGTGACTGGCCAAGGCCTCAACTAAGTAATTTAGCAGCCCAGAGCTCTGTTGACGTTAGGCTGAGTTCTTTTTACTGTATTTTGCAGCATGAACAGTGACCTAGATAATGTAATTATTTCATTTTGTTTTCCTTTGGGGTCACATTCAGTGCTGTTTAGGGTTTATTTCTGGCTCTGTGTGGGGATCACATGTGTAGGAGCTCAGGGAACCACACGGGGTGCCTGGGATTGAACCGCAACAGTCACAGGCAAGGCAAGCACCCTGCCCACTGCTCTATTGCTCCCGTTTTCCTAAAGTGACTGTTTATATTCTTTGGAGTGTTTTCATTTCTACAGTGAAGAAGATTTGGGTTGGATTTATGCTCCTTGGACACACTTTCCACAGATGGCTAAAACAATTTTCTATCCATGTATTTCCACTGTGGACTTGCCATGCCCCTGTATCACTGTAGCACTGTCCTCCCAATACTCATTGATTTGCTCAAGCAGGACCAGTAACGTCTCCATTGTGAGACTTGTTGTTACTGTTTTTGGCATATTGAATACACCACAGGGAGCTTGCCAGGCTCTGTTGTATGGGCCAATACTCTCGGTAGCTTGCCTGGCTCTCCGAGAGGGGTGGGGGAATTGAACCCGGGTTGACCGCATGCGAGGCAAATGCCCTACCCGCTGTGCTAATCACTCCAGCCCTTTGCCATGCCCCTAGGTGGAGTAATTTCTTACCTTCCCTCAAATTTGGGCTGCTCTTAGTGATTTGCTTATAATCAGTAGAATCTGACAGTATTTGTCACAAGACTCTTATGTCTCATCCCTAAAACCCACGAATTTTCCTCAGAATTCTCATCCTTCAATTGCTCTTCACATGTTCCTTCTAAAATTGTTCCCTCTCTATGTCCAGCTGCCTGTGAGGAGGATCCCAATGCCCAATAGCCTGATTTCTGTTTAAAGTTTTAACAGACTGTGGACCAGACCTCCTGGCCCCCGTTTCTTCTGTGCTTGAATATTAGTCTCATACTGTGTTAGGTTTTTTTTTTAAATATCCCACAAATGAATGCAATCATTCTATGTCTGTCCCTCTCCTTCTGACTAATTTTATTCATGGTTAAAAACTTGCCACATACAATTTATTTGGTGGGTAGAGGGCAGTTATGACAGAGAAGGGACCACTATGACAATAAAAGTTAGAAATGATCCCTCTAGACAAGAACTGAGTGCTGAAAGTAGGTAAGTACATGATGACTTTTCAGTATCTGTATTACAAAATATAATGCCCTAGAGGAGAGAGAGAGAGAGAGAGAGAGAGAGAGAGAGA